TGTAAAGATGAAGCTTCCTTCCCTAGTATGGGCCTCAGATTGCTGTCCCCTTTAGATATTTCAGGTAGGCAGGGATGAAGTCATGAGAAGAAGTCCAAGGGCAATGAAGAAAGATTTCAGGGCCCTGGGACAGCTGGTCAAGGGATTCGGAGCACATGTTGTGTCCTCCTCTGCGCTTCCATTTGCGGGGAATGATGAGGTCGTAAACAGAAGAGCCAGCAGATGAATGCCTGGCTTCGAGCCTGGTGCCAGCAGCAGGACTTCGGGTTCTTTGATCATGGATTGATCTACAAGACACCAGGCCTGCTGTTAATGGATGGGAAAAGCTTATCTCACAGGGGGAAGAGGGATCAGGGACAAGAATTATCAGGGCTCATTGAGAGAGCTTTAAACTAGATTCGAAGGGGGATTGGGTTGTATCTCAGCCTTCTAGAGAGACTCTTGGGGGTAGTAGCTTAGTACTTGTGGGGCAGCATACTAGTACTTTTGAGAACCAAAAGTCCTACCACCCTTCGAGGGAGAAATCTACATGCTCAGCTCCCTTCCTGAAATGCTTATACACCAATGCACGCAGCATGGGGAATAAGCAGGAAGAGCTGGAGGTCTGTATGCGGTTGCAGGGCCATGATCTCACTGTGATTACCAAGACATGGTGGGACAGCTCACATGACTGGAATGCTGTCATGATGGCTATGTCCTTTTCAGGAAAGACAGGCCAGCAAGGCAAGGTGGTGGAGGTGCTCTTCATGGAGAGAGCAACTGGAATGTATTGAGCTCTCCCTGGGGGCAGATGAAGAGCAAGTGGAGACCTTGCAAAGATTAAGGAGCAAGCTAATATGAGAGACACTATTGTGGGTGTTTATTACAGGCCACCTGATCTGGATGGGGAAGTTGATGAGGCCTTTTACAGACAGCTGGAAGTGGCCTCACAATCAGAGGCTTTGGTTCTCATGGGGGAATTCAGTCACCCTGATATATGCTGGGAAGGCCACACAGCCAAGCACACACATTCCAGGAGGTTCCTCCAGTGTATTGATGGTAACTTTTTAACTCAGGTGGTGGAAGAGCCAACAAGGAGAGGTGTATTACTGGACCTAGTACTGACAAACAAAGAGGGACTGGTGGAGGACATTAAGGTTGGGGGCCGCCTTTGCTGTAGTGATCATGAGAAGACGGAGTTCAGGATCATGGGTACTAGGCACAAATCAACAAGTAGGACTGCAACCTTGGACTTCAGGAGGGCTAACTTTGACCTCTTCAAGAAACTGCTTAGAGAAATCCCATGGGCCAGGGCTCTGGAAAGCAGGGGGCTCAAGATAGCTGGTTGATATTCAAGTACCACTTCCTCCAAGCTCAGGATCGGTATATCCCTAAGAGCAAGAAATTGGGCAAGGGAAGCAGGAGACCTGCTTGGCTGAACAGGGAGCTTCTGAAAAATCTCAAGTGGAAGAGGGAAGTTTACACTGTATGGAAGAAGGGACTGACCACTTGGGAAGACTAAAAGAATGCTGTCAGAGTATGCAGGGATGGAACGAGGAAAGCCGAGGCTTCCTTGGAGTTAAACCTGGCAAGGGACATCAAGGTCAACAGGAAGAGTTTCTTCAAGTATATCAGAGACAAAAGGAAAACTACAGAAAACGTGGGCCTGCTGTTGAATGGGGCAGGTGTCATGGTGACAGAGGATGCAGGGAAGGCGGAGTTACTGACTGCCTTCTTTGCTTAAGTCTTTACTGCTCAGGCCAGCCCTCGGGAGTCCCAGACTTTGGAGGTAACAGAGAAAGTCTGGAGGAAGGACTACTTTCCCTTGAAGCTGAGGAAGATCAAATTAGAGATGAATTAAATAAATAGATATCCACAAGTCCATGGGTTCTGATGGGATGCACTCATGAGTGCTGAGGGAGCTGGCAAAGTCATTGCTAAGCCACTCTCCATCCTCTTTGAGATGTCCTGGAGAACAGGTGAGCTGCCTGAGGAGTGGAGAAAAGCCAATGTCATTTCAGTCTTCAGAAAGGGCAAGAAGGATGACCGAGGAAACTACAGGCCAGTCAGCCTCACCTCCATTCCTGGAAAGAAGTTGGAGCAGCTCATTCTGGGGGTCATCTCAAAACATGTGGAGGAAAAGACGGTTATCGGAAGCAGTTAACATGGATTTACCAAGGAGAAGTCATGTCTGGCTAACCTGATAGCCTTCTTTGAGGGCATGACTGGAGAGCAGTGGACATTGTCTACTAGGGAGACTAAGGGTGAGTAGTGGACATTGTAGACTAAGGGTAGAGCAGTGGACATTGTCTACCTTGACTTCAGCAAGGCTTTCAACACTGTCTCCCACAGCATCATCATAGGCAAGCTTAGGAAGTGGGGGTTAGATGAATGGACAGTGGGGAGGGTTGGAAATTGGCTGAAGGACAGAGCTCAGACGGTTGTGGTCAGTGGTGCAGAGTCTAGTTGGAGGTCTGTAGCAAGTGGTGTTCCCCAGGGGCCAGTACTGGGTCCAGTCCTGTTCAAATATATTCATCAGTGACCTGGATGAAGGATGCCACTGGCGGCAAGTTTCCTGCCGATACTAAACTGGGAGGAGTGGCTGACATGCCAGAAGGCTGTGCTGCAATTCAGTGATACGTGGACAGGCTGGAGAGTTGGGCAGAGAGGAACCTAATGAGGTTTAATAAAGGCAAGTGTAGGGTCCTGCACCTGGAGAGGAATAATCTCATGCACCGGTACAGGTTAGGGGCTGACCTGCTGGAGAGCAGCTCTGTAGAAAAAAAACCTGGGAGTTGCGGTGGACGACAGGTTAGCCATGAGCCAGCAATGTGCCCTTGTGGTCAAGAAGGCCAATGGCATCCTGGGGTGCATTAAGAAGAGGGTGGCCAGCAGGTCAAGGAATTTTCTCCTCCCCCTCTACTCTGCCCTGGTGAGGCCACATCTGGAGTACTGTGTCCACTTCTGGGCGCCCCAATTCGAGAAGGACAGGGAACTGCTGGAGAGGGTACAGCAAAGGGCTATGAAGATGATTAGGGGGCTGGAACATCTCTCTTACAAGGAGAGGCTGAGGGACTTGGGGCTTTTTAGCCTAGAGAAGAGAAGACAGAGAGGATCTTGTCAATGCTTATAAATACTTAAAGGATGGGTGTCAGGAGGATGGGGCCAGTCTTTTTTCAGTGGTGCCCAGTGACAGGACAAGAGGTGATGGGCACAAACTTGAACATAGGAGCTTCCGTCTAAACATGAGGAGGAATTTCTTTCCTTTGAGGGTGGCCGAGCACTGGAACAGGCTGCCTAGGAAGGTTGTGGAGTCTCCTTCCCTGGAGATGTTCAAAACCCACCTGGATGCAGTGCTGTGCAGCCTGCTCCAGGTGAACCTGCTCTGGCCGGGGGGTTGGACTAGATGATCTCCAGAGGTCCCTTCTGACCCCTGCCATTCTGTGATTCTGTGTAATGTACTATAGTTCTAACCGAAACAGGTGCTTTAATGAGAAACTTCATGTTTTGACCTCAAGGCAGGCTCTACAGTTTTATATTGTGTGTCTGGCGACATGTGGGCTGCTGAAAGCCCGTCTCTTTTTTCTTGTTTAAGTGTGACACAGCTCACAGTAGTCAGGAAGAAAAGACACCTCAGTTGTCTGCAGTCGTGCCAATTGTGACTTACAGGCTCTATGGACCTTGGAAGAGTTTATGTTGCAGTTGAGGACATAAACAAGCTGTTTCTGGGGTGTGCACAGGATATTATGCTGCTACCAAGACCTCCTAGCTCAGGTGCAGGTACAGCCTGTACTCTGTTGCATTACTAGCTTATCTATGCATTAAAACAATTCATTTATGGTGAGATCTGGCTCATACGAAGTTGGTGTCTAAACTAGACATACAGACTAGGGGAGGTAGAGAGTGCTATGTAGAAATTGCACTGATTAGTTATATTTGTCATGATAAATTAATAGAACAGCTTTCTCAGCTTTACTCGTCCTACTAGTTCATAATGCTTAATACTCATTTCTGAAATGAGGGAACAGTGCAAAGGAGTAGTATTTCTCAAGAAACCAATTCCATGGCAAAACATAAGGTTTTGTGACTAGCTTCTCTGCACCCCTGGAGTTAAATATGGAGTGATTTTTTTTTTTTCTTGATGCATAAGGAAAATACTAATAATGACTATAATAATAGTAATAAACCCCACACAATTTCTGCTTTGTTTCCTTTATTCTGAAAAATTGTTTGAAAGTGCCTATGTGATGGTTTCATAGCCAGTTAGATCTAACCCAGTACCTAAAACTCAGGTGTCTCTTTGTTCTTGTTTTGCCAGTGAGGTATGGATGTCAATAACTGTAAATAGCTGGATATTTTGGACTAATGAGATTAAGTGCAACAAAATAAAACATCGCATTATGCGTGTGATTGTTGTGCTGCGAAATGGGTACTATAGTACATCCCACTGACAGATTTTTGTACTGTGGTATATGAGCTACAAACAGCACAGGAAAAGGTTTCTAAATATAGAATACAAACATTTTTAATGTTATTTTTGACTGTGGAGACATTATTCCTGCTACAGGCCCAATGAGAGCTAGCAGAAAGTTCTGTGCCTAAGGTAGGAAGGCAAAGATTGGGGTAGAAATGGACTCTCTGAACTTGGAGAGATGTGCTAGAGAGAAGCAGGTAATTAGACATTGGCAGAAATGAAAAGGCAATGTGTAGGCTTAAAGTGGTCTGGAATATGGGGATATTTGTTCCAGTTGGGCTAGAAGGAGCTGTGAAACTCTGAAAGACTGAGTGAATGGGGAATGATTGAATTGATAGTGTATTACAGATGGGAATTAAATAAAATGGAGGAGTGAGTTATGGTGAGATTTAGTGGCCAAAAAACCCAAGGGTTTGTGCAAAGTAATATAAAAGAGTAAGAGAGGATTAAATAAAGTAAAAGCTACTGTTTCCTCTTGCCTAAACTGCACTTCTTCCTTACACAAAATGATGAATTGATAAGGGTTATCAATGTAACTAATGACTCGCGGTGCTTTTATGTATTTTGGAAGGTCTTTCCCAAGAGCAGGAATAATGACTGTGAATGCTTTGATTGAAAGTGACTCCTTTATATTTCACTTGATGTCTCTAATGCTGAGGCTTTTGTATCTTTACACCTTTGTTTATCTTTAAATCACCGGTAAGACTAAAGCTGCAAGCATGTATACATGAGTCTTAGTGGTGCTGAGGTTTCATACATGTCAGCTGAGTAGTAATAATCTCATTCTGTAGGTGGGCAGATATTGTGACTGACCTAAACACCCAAAATCCTGAATATCTAGATATTCGACACTTGGAGAGAGGACTGCAGCATCGAAAAACAAAGAAGGTAAGGTAAACTTACTAAGATGGGAGGAAATTCATGGTAGATTTTTTGCAAATTTGTTCACACTTCATCAGTGAAAGATAAGGTCAGTAAAAGAAATTTGTGACAAAGTGTTGATGAAGACAAAAGTCAAATGTGGGTATACTTGCTTACCAGAGTCATTTATATTTCCTTGCAGGACAAGATACAATACAGCACTAGCCTAACATATGCTAGGATGAACCAGGGTATCTGCATATACAGTGTGTTTGGTCACAATATTTAACCTTGCTGGCTTAAAATGAGCTGCAGCAAGTGTAGAAATACTCTACAGACAAATTACAGACAGATCCTCTTGGTACATGACCACCTAGCTACATGTAAGCGGGAAAGAAAGTACAGTCGAGTAGTATCAAACATAAAAGAATGCACATGTCTCTTGTGCGGACTTACAGTCCGTACATACAGCTTGCTTTCCTATAGATAGGGCTGTATCTTGTGGGTAGGGGTGTACTTTTGATTTGCAGATTGAAAGCCTGTGAGAAATAATACGCTGAAGAGATGATTTCAAATGTGGAGACCCAATGGAAGTCCATTTCAGCAAGATGAGAAGGGACCAGAACACCAAATTTATGTGACAGTGGCTGGAGAGTACAAAAGACTAGTAGAAGACAAGTTATACTAGCTGATGAAAAAGGAGGCAGTAATTGAATCTGGGAAACGATCAAAATTGATTGAGCAGAGTTTTGTGGTTTGGTTTTTTTGTTTTGTTTGAGTGATGCTGCAGGTTTTTCATTTTCTATTTTAAAGACTTCTACTACCTGCCAAGATGTTCACTTCAAATACCTGTGTATGTTACAAATGTGCCTGTGTGCATTTAACAAGGAACCTTTTTACTTTGATTAGGTTGGAGGAAATCTTCATTGCATCATTGCCTTTCAGAGACTTAACTGGCAAAGATTTGGTCCTTGGAATTTTCCATTTGGAAACGTTAGACAGGATAAGCAATCCCAAACACAAGGACAAGGAATTTCCAAATCTGAGAGTGAAGACAATATCTCCAAGAAACAACATGGACGACTGGGTCGATCTTTCAGTGCCAGCTTTCATCAAGAATCTACGTGGAAGAAATCTAATCTTCGTGAGAGGAGGAACAGTGGGTATCAGAGTTATAATGATTACGATGGAGATGATTAAAATTAACTTTAGATAATAGACTTGATATATTAAAGTTAGTTTTAATCAAGACATATTAGGGATCTATTAGTCCTAGAATACGTATGAATAGAAATAATGGTATAAGATACAGCTTCATAATTATTAAATAAATCTGATTATATGGTTGCAGTGGATGAGATCTGATGTATAAACTGACAGATAAGCACAGATTATTGTACTTTTGCAATCAAAAGTAAATATGACAGCAAAATCAATTTCTTTTGAAATAACTGTACTATGTCCTGATCTGTGAAAAGAGCAGATTGAAATCAGTTAATGTACTAAAGAGACTTAACTGAAAATACTTAATATTCAAAAGCATGAAAATGTATGATACGACTTTATAAAAGGGTTATTCTGCAGATGGTGTAAGGGTAAAAGTAAACATTGCCCTCCTTTTAACACTCCATTTTATTAAGACTGCCTATATCCAGGGAGAAGGAAAAAAAAAATCACATAGGTTAGAAAACTTTGTCAGATTTACAAGTGGAATGTACGTTCTCCATTTAGTTCCCTGTAGACTTCTGTCAGTCAGATAATCATGCTTTTTCAAGCAGGTCTTAGTTTCTTTCCCTCAGCTGGATGCCTCTCAGACTGAGAGGAATCGCCTGTGGCATGGGAAGTTTGAGGACAGACCTTCTTTATTGCTTTTGCTCTGTGGGTCCAGTGGCTGAATTCTTATCTGGAGCCTCTTGAGAGCACGGACTCACTTAATACAAGCTTGTGAAATTCAGTATTAAAAAGCTGCGTTTACCACTAGCCAAATGAGTTAGCTGAACGCTGTGTCCTGTTGGCAGGTTTTTTTCCTTGTTCAGTCTTTAAACCTCTTGTCGTTTTTCTGCTGCTCTCTTTAATTTTGTATGAAGGGGATGCAAGTGCCGAAAACTGCTGGCAGCCCTGATGATATTATATACCTCTTGCCAGCAAACAGTTCAAACTTTCATGTGCAGTCTCTTTTTTTTTTTCCCTAATTTGAAATGTATCCAATTGTTTGCCCAAACACATCTCAACAGTTCTAACTTTCTGCGTACAAATGTTCATAGCTGCTCAAGGATTAATTTTTTGACATAAAGATTTGTCATGGAATGCAGGGGTTTTGTAGGTTGCTGCTTTTGTTAACCAAAAATGGGAGACTTTTAGACTTTTGTTCATTCAATAAAATTTGTTTTCTATTTTGTTGTTTGCTTTTGATTTGTCTTGGAAATAGTGACCCTACGTTTAGTGAAGGTTTTGAGTGAAGTGGGTAAGCTAAAGATCAGAATTGCAACCCCTGCTTAGCAAAGTAATTCTGGAGGTAGGATCCCTGCTTGTAAGCCTTTACACCCACTGCGACTTCACTTCTAATATTTAATTTCCCAAAGTGTGCAGGCTGATGACTAAACAAAACCTATAGGTACTGAAAAAATTATTTTCCAGAGAACTCTTTTTCAGACTTTATTTTTGTGAGCTGAATTTGGGCTGAGGACTCAAATTTCTTTAGAAGACTTGAGCTGTGTTCCTTAGGGTACTTCAGGCTTAGATGAGTTACGTAAATGTTTCTAAAAAATTAAGTTTTGCTTAATAATGATCGTTGCACTGAGGAACAGGGACTCTTCCTCTCTAATGGTAGCCTGCTGCTGTTCTCAAGTAGGTGTTGTGATAGACTTTGGTTTTTACAGTTATTTCGCTCTTGGGTTGGAGGCTGTCACACTTCATCAACAAAGTACGTAGTTCTTTGGTTCTTCCAGCATTAGCAGGAGGAAGGCGCACGTCCTTAGGGACCTGCTGCTGGGAGCTTTCCCTAGGGTTTCTCGGGTGGGAGGTGGGCGCAGTGAGGGGCGTTGGGGTTGCAGGGGGAGCGGAGCGGGGAGACCCTAGGCCGGAGGGGACATCATGTTTAGGGAAAAAAAATAGGACGTTTTTTCTTTTTGCGATCTGGTGTTTGGTACTTCACCCTTCTCCGGGCAGACGAGGAGCCCGCGGGCGGCTGCCGCCCTC